ATATCAAAGAAGCTTGATATGGGTGAAGTGTGTACACCATATGTTAGTTCTAAAGAACAATTAGTTGATGTATTCACAAATGGTGTTAATGTCCTATATCATAACGAATTGTAATGGTGAGAGTTCTTTCCATCTCTTAATTTCCTGTCCTTTCGTTTGTTGTATTTGGGAATGGTTCTGCTCTCTCTTTGGTTGCAGGCGAAACCCTCCTATTAGTTTGGAAAGTCTCTTTAGTCAATCCCTTTTGAGAAACACAAAAAGAATAGACACAATTTTATGAAAATGTGCTAGAGCAGCTATTGTGGGGACTGTTTGGGAGGAAAGGAACTTATGAATCTTTGAGGATAAAGAAAGAAACAATGAAGTAATCTTGGAGACCATTACAGTTAGAGTTACTCATTGGATGAAGACTTTGAAACTATTCTTTGACTTCTCAGTGGAAGACTTCTTTCGAAACTTGGGGTCGATTGCCCTTTCTTCTTCTAGGAATCAAAAGATCTTGGAGGTTTGGTCTCCCCCAAGTAAAGGTTGGCTGAAACTTAACTTTGATGGAAGTAGTTTTGGTATTCTGGGTTATGGCACTTCAGAAATGAATTCAAGCGGTTCAAGATGCTGTCAAGACATATGCAAATTCAGTTAAGATGGGTTAGGAGGTCTGCTAATGGTTTGGCGGATGGATTAGCTAAACAAGGAGTAAATAGACATCATTTGTTTTGGGCTCAATGTTAGTTGGGTTGTGGGATTCTTTGCTGTACTGGGTGTTATTTCTAATAACTTCTTGTTGTACTACTCTCATCTTAAGATATAATAAGATTCTTTGAGTTGCTGATTAAAAAATATATTTAGTTTTGTCAAGGGCAGTGTTTTAAAAGTGCAAGGTGCAAAAAAAGGTGCAGGGGTCAATTTGCACCTGAGGCACAAGGCGAGGTGTGCGCCTTTTTGAAGCAAGGCACAAAAATAAAAAATGCTAAAAATAAAAAAAAGTCAGAAAATTCAAAAAAATGCAAAAAAATATTAAACATAATATTAATAAAAAATATAAACTTAAATTTTAAAATAAATGTTTTAAAAATGTAAAATAACTATTATCTAAAATTAAAATACATAAACATAACATGTAAAGCATATTCAAATGAGAATTTAAAAATAAAATCAAACATATAAAACATTTTCAAGCATGTAAAACCCACAATCTCTTTTTTTCCTCAATTGCATTACTTCAAGTAGCTAATGTGATGTAAAACATATTACATTCCAGATTTTACAAGCCACCTTTGTGCCACACCCCTCGAGGCAAGCCCAAACAAGTCCATGTTAGAGTCTTAAATTCTTAGTTCTCACACAAAAAATAATGATTTTATAATTTTAATTGCTTTTTAAGAAGATATTTTATTAGGATGGATGAATGAACAACATTAGCAAATAGGGGGGGTCTCAGAGCTTCGGTGAGTGAGCAAAGCGAGCAAATGCCCAAGTTCATGCCGCTAGGTTCAAAAAAAGCAAAAAAGCGTCAAATTTTCCAAAGGCGCACGCCTAGGTACACCAGGCGTGCACCTTTTGAAACGACTGACCTAGGACCTACGCAAGGCGCATACCCTAAAATGTGCCTCGCTTGTGCGCCTAGGTGCGCCTTTTAAATCACCGGTCAAGGGTGACTTGTTTTAAGGACACTACTGGAAATTGACTTATTTACACTATTTAAGACCATATATTGAGTCTATTTTCCATCATGTGTAGGATAAAGAATCATTGTGTGTCGATTATTTGACTTTCAAGTCAAACTTGAATATATCATCTTAGCCTTCTATTGTATAAGTGGTAAAATTCTGTTGATTTGGGTACACATACAAGGTAGATACAGGTTAAAAATAGGGTAGAATCATGTTTCTATATATATTTTTCCTTTCATCATATCTATATTTAATTTTTTAACAAATTTTTAAAAATAGAAGTGGTCTTATGATTTACGGATTACAATACGATACACAAATTGATTTGATTCAATTTTCTCTATGATTTATGATACAATTACGAATTTCAGAATCAAAGGCCTAAGCAAGAAAAGGAAAATAGTGTGGAGGACTATTCCTAGTGCTGTCTTGTGGTCCATTTGGGCTGAAAGGAACAGTAGGTTTTTCTGTAATAAGGCTAAGAGTCCAGAAGACTTAATTCAGAAAGCTGTGGGCAAGTTAATCTCTTGGGTGTCAGTTTCTGAGCAGTTTAAAAATTTGAATTTGTCTGTTTTATTTCGTTCTAACTCCTGGTGGAGTGTGTAATTGCTGTGTTTATCAGATCTGGGTCTGATCACAGCTTGTATGTGTTGCTTTGAATAAATATTACTTTACCTTTTTCCAAAAAAAACATTTACAAGGGTTAAGGTTAGCCAATCAGCTTAAACCTAAGGCAAGCGGAGGTTGAAGGGACTCTTTGTTAGTGGTGGGTTGGTTAAAAAACAACAGTCAGGGAAGATGGGTGTACAAACAAGAATTGAGAGAAATCAGAAAACTTGAAGTTGAGGTTGGGCCTCCCTTCAAATGGGTTAGAAGGTTAGAAAATGGTAAGGCTGATGCATTGACCAAACAAGGGGTTTCTAGGGACAATTTGTATTGGGCAACCTTGAATGATAGTTGATGATTGGGCCAGATCTATGGAGATGGTGGTTGTAATCCTTCATTAAGCTTCTTTGATTTAATAAAATTTTTGTTATTGATCAAGAAAATGGCATGAAAGTAGTAAGAAATAATTTATGTGTTAATACAATGGATATCACATAAACAGAATAGAATGATGAAACGGGATTCAAGTAGCTGACTTCACATAGTTGGGATAAGGTTTGAATGGTAATGTAGATAAGAGTACAACCCTTTCATTTCCCCCCACCCTAGAACCTCTACAAATTCATCTATCACCTAGCCCTTTATAGTAATCTACCAAAGATCCCCGCAACCAAAATGATTAACATTGAGGAGCGGGGATTTCCTTGTCTCAGTCCTTGAAAAGCTTTTAAGAAACCTCTTGCACTTGGAGTTCCATTAATGGGTATAGAATAGTGTATAGAGATCATACACCTCTTGCTCTGTCCTATCCAATTCCTCTCAAAACCTATCTTCTCTGTAATCCATCTCAAGAACCCCAATCCATGTAATCATACACTTTTCCTAGATTCAGCTTGTAATGAAACCTTTCCTGCCTCATTTTTTCACATCTTTCACAGTCTTGTTTGCTATCAAAAGCTTCTTGTTCCTAAAATATCACCAAGTGAAGAATCACCCTCAATCTAGTGATAATACTTCTGCAATAATCCTGTATAGTTGTGTGGTTAAGATGATTGGTATAAATGGGAAGCATTTCCTCAATCCTTGGGGATAAAGGAAATGAAAATTGCATTCATTCTCTTCTCAATCTTTCCCTCTTTATCTTCAACAGCCTTGTTTGCTATGACAAAAGCTTCTTGCTCCTAAAATATCACCAAGTGAAGAATCACCCTCAATCTAGTGAATAATACTTCTGCAATAATCCTGTACAGTCTTGTGGTTAAGTTGATTGGTCTAAAATTATTTGGGAAGCAATTCCTCAATTCTTGGGATAAAGGAAATGAAAATTGCATTCAATCTCTCCTTAATCCTTCCCACTTTATGGAATCCATTGAAAACACGCCACTTGATGTTCGATACTCCTCAAACACTATCCTTTTTGTGCTTAGACAAACAGATATATGGTTTCTTTTCTCCAAGTTATAGCAAACTGTTTTCCTCAAATCCCATCTCTTTTGAACTGTTCCAATCAAACCCCCTAAATATAGTAGAAAAATGAGATAGACTTATGGTAGATGGTCTCATAACATCTAATGAGAGACTTAAATTGCATTAACTGATAAGCCAAAATGGGAGCATGCATTCCTCTGACAACAACTCCACCTTAGTCTTAAATTCCAAACTAAAATATAAATAGTGCATACTCTATAAGGTAACCAACAATGTCGCAAAAATCTGCAATTATAAAAATGTAACTGACAGATGCAGACCAAAATATTACACCCCAAAAATTGCCTAATAGAATAGATAGATAGTACTAACCATACATGATCGCCAGATCGATTTAAGTATCCATGCTCTTCGTTCTTAAAAAAAATGATACAATTAATACATACCCAAATACTACATAAAATATATTGGATTCTCCCAAACCCCGAAAATATGGTAAAAGAAACTATATCGGACCCCATAAACTTCATTTAATTCACAGTTATTGGATAAATCGCAAATAATTCTTTCTCTGTCCATTCGGAGTTGCAGATGGTATAGAAAACAGAGCTCCCAAAAAGCCAAAAGTTTTTTATCCCAAAAAGCCTAAAATGAAAAATGGAAACTGCCGAATAATGAGAGGAAGTCAACCTACCTACATAATCGCCCATGAAAAGATAATTGGTATCTGGAGCATTTCCTCCGATTCGGAACAACTCAATGAGATCGTGGAACTGCCCGTGAATGTCGCCACAAACGGTGACTGGGCACTTGACCGGCTGTACGTTCCATTCCTCGACCAGGATGGCCCTCGCCTGCTCGCACAAAGCCTTCACCTCGGCCTCCGAGAGAGGCTTACATTCCATAAGATGCTCGATCTGCCGGTCTAGATCCGCGTGAGACGGCATGGCTTCTTCTCCGCGATCTGCAATGCAAATCGATCAGAAAATGGGGACCGAAAGGAAATCAGCTCCAAGTCCACCAGAAATGCGCCGGAAATCGAGTTCTACGTACCGATAGACGGCCAATTAATTGAATCGGAGCATCATCGACGACGATCTAACAAGGTTAGGGTTAGGGTTCCGGATCAAGAAAAACAGAGGAAGAAAACGCCAGGGGAAATAAAGATCGGCCCTGGTCCTCCTTCGCTCATTCCTCGCAGCCAAGAATTGTTTGCTTTTTCAATTTTAGTTTTGGACCTTATTGGGGTTCGTCTTCATGTGAGATAAAAGAGAAATCCTCTCTCTCTCTCTCTCCCTCCTTTGAGAAACTCGGCAACCCAGTAATAATTAAAAATAAAAATAAATATTTACTAAAAAATTAATAATAGACAACGACAAATGAGAATGTGAGATGAGTCTCAAATGAAACTCAAATGAAATGATGGTGTCTCTCCGCTCTCGTTTTTGTTCGGAACAAAATTGAAAATTCTCTCTTCGGTAGCTCCACGAGTCAGTCGTAAGACATTGGACACGTGTCGGTTATACTGCCTTTTGGGCTTTGGAGAACTCCTTTACCCTCTACGTGTTTATTACAAAAGGAATCTTTATTCATTTTTTGCCATTTCCACCATCAACTTAGGCTGTTACACTTTCACACATCCATATCGATATCCGTATTAAAATACAAAAACCTCCCTTCAAGTTTCTCACAATCATAAAAGCTTTTCCTATAGTTTCATTTTAGCAAAATCTCTCCTTAACTTTTAAAAATTTGACAAAAACCTCCCTTCCATTACTAACTCCGACAGAAAACATTTACCAATATATAATTTTTTTTCCAAATACCCATTTTACTCTTTTGTAAAATAGCTCGTGTTTAAAGTATCCAAACGCAAAATTTTGCCATGTTAGCCATCATGAGTTGTGCGTGAATTTTGCCGCTTTAGTATCCAACTTCGTTTAGATTTCTGAAGCAGCTTTTTTCTCTAGTTCCTGAAAATCTCTTGCTTTTATGAAAACTTGGAAAGCATTTCCCTATCCTTGTCGGCTTCGTTACAAAAGTGTAGGGGCGGAGCCAAAGTGGTAAAGGGGAGCCATGCGCCCCCCCCCCCCTATCCATGTTTTCTAGGTTTTGGCACCCCTCAAGAAAAAATTCTAGCTCCGTCCTTGCAAAAGCCTCCCTGTAGTTATGAAATTTATCTGAAGTATTCATTTAGGAGATGGGCTCTAATCAATTTGAAAGTTTACCATTCATCTTCTTTGTTGAGAGAGCGGCAACAAGTAGACTTTCCAACACCAAGTAACAGCGGCGACCCCCTCCAACTCTCTCCCTCTACTTTTTTTTCTTCTCTTTCTTCTTCTTCATCCCACTCTCCACCACTATCACCGCCCCTGTTTCTTCCTCCAATCATCGCTATTGCAACTCTTAGCAGTAGTGATTTGCCATCTCTCCCTCCAAGTTTATCTACTTCATCATTATGCTCTCTCTCTCTCTCTCTCTCTCTCTCTCTAATCCCATTATACTCCCCCTTTTGTTCTCTATCTCTTTCCCATCTCATCACCGTTGTTGCAGCTCAACGGCAACTTGTCATCCCCCTTTCGCCTTCTATCTCTTTCCCGTCTCATCACTGTCGTTGCAACGGCGGATCTGAGCTCAACGGCAACCTCTCCTTCTCTGATCTCTTCTCTCTCCTCTAGTCACTTTATTTGTTTTATTTTTCATTCTTTCTTTCTTCCTCATTCTTTCCCTCACTCCTCCAATGAGAATCCTCGATTGGTTTTCCGTCTTCTTCGCTTGGATGGTGACGATAAACAAAGCTCTCAATACAAAGTAGCAACAGGAGCTCTATACGAACTTTTGGGTGGTTGTCAAAGCTGGTAATGGAGCAACTGCTGATTTGGTTTCCTATGAAAGCTTTGACACCACCCAGTATCACCATTGTTCATTCATCGGTGAATCCGTTTTGAATCTACTAGATAACGGATCCCCCTTATGTAATTTTCTGGCGGAGGGAGGTGGAGGAGTTTGGGGTCGGGGTGAAGGAGGAGGAGGAGAAATCCGATAGAAGGTTGCCAATGTGGAAAAAAAAATCAGTGCTAGGAGTCAATTCGGTCACAAAATTAAAGCTCACATGAGTTTAAAGATAATAATATGTCGATTGGGGTATTTTAGTAAAAATGTATGCAAATTAATTTATAAAGGGGTAAAATGGGTATTTTGAAAAAAATGCATCGATAAATGTTTTTTCGTCTGAATTAGTAACGAAAGGGAGGTTTTTGTCTTTTTTTTTAAGTTTATGGAAGGTTTTTGCTAAAATGAAACTATAGGGAAAGTTTTTATGATTGTCAGAAACAAGAGATGAGGTTTTTGTATTCTACCCTAAAAAAAGGCTAAATTGCATACTGCCACTCTGTGGGTAGTGATACAAATCAATCACGTACCAATCCGATTTAGGTAAATGCAAATGGAGATTGGTAACCAACGATGCAAGAGGTTCAAGGCATGGACGGAAGATGTGAACTGAAATCCACCATTAAAGCTGTGAATTAAAATGGTACATTTGCAAGACGAGCAACTTAGAGTGCCACAACTCAGTCTCTAAAGATGAGAGAGAGAGAGAGAGGGAGCTGAGATCCACCATTAAAACTGTGAACTAAAATTGTACATTTGTAGGATGAATAACTTAGAGTGCCACAGCTTAGTCTCTCCATGCTCGTGTCTATTTTTCTAGAGATGAGAGAGAAGTTGTGAACCGGGGTGAATTTGAGCCGAACTGAGCTGAATAGTATGAGGCTCGAGCTTGGTTCGCCAAGGTTGTATAATGCTTGAGCTCGGGCTCGAACTCGGTTTGAGTAAAAAACTCATAAGCTCAAGCTCAATTTGAGGAAAAATATTTTATAAAAAAAACTATATATAATTTTTTATTTGATATTTATAAAATTAAGAATTATAATATTTTTATTATATATATAATTTTCTCTCTCTCTCTCTCTCTCTCTATATATATATATATATATATATTCGAGCTCGACTCGAAGCTTAATTGAAACCAAACCAAGCCAAGCTCGAGTAACTCGTAAAGAGCGGTTCGCTGCCACCCCTAATTGTGAACTAAAATTCTACATTTGCAAGATGAATAACTTAAGAGCGCCACATCTATGTCTCTCTATGCTCGTCTGTTTTATGCATAAATGTGTGTGTGTGAGAGAGAGAGAGCATTTAAACTTGAACCGGAATATTATTCTTACCTTTGTCACCAGCGGTAATGAAAGTAGATGAGAAGAAGATAAGAGAAGAGATATATTACCACCGGATACATTACCTTTATCCTTTGGGAAGAAGAAAAGACATTACCAAGTTTTTACTTGGATGGAGAAGGTAAAGTTTTGACATAAATGGACTTTTACACCAATTTATAAGGTATATATATTAGCACTTCTACCAAATGCTTGCAATGCAAAATCAGACGAGAGTGTAAAATTTACCCTAGTTTAATTTTCATTTACACTTCAAACAAAATGCGGCTTGAGGTAAAATTACTAAAAACTTTATAAAGTTTAATAGGCTATAAGAAGAAAATATAAAAATAACAAAAATAGGTATATTAATACGGTGTCTTTTGTTCTCATTTTTATTGCTTTTTGTTTTTAATTTTTAGTATTTCCTACAATTTTCTTGTTTTCTTGTTTTGTTTTCATTTTTTACTTTTCTTTATTTTGTTGTATTTTCTCATTTTCATTCCTTTGTATTATGTTTTTATGTTCTTTATAAATTTTTTGGTTTATTTCTTTTTAGGGTAAATTACAAAGACCCCCTTGTACTATGGGGTCAGTGACAAAGTCCCCCATACTTTTTTTTGCAACAAAGACCCCCCTGAACTTTATCCATTAGACAAAAATCCCCTTGGCCGTTAAATCAGATGACATAAAACGTTAAATTATCAAAATACTCCACTAGACTTTTTCTATTTTATTTTTCTTGCCCTTTTTCTCTTAAAACCCATTTTGACCGCCTCCTCGGCCTTCACCTTCACGGCATGCAGAACCACATTGCACTGAGCCATCGGCGATCGAATCTTTTCTCTCAACAACGCCATGAAGTAGTCGGGAAGGGTAAGCCTGATGTCGAGCTCGCTCATGTAGAGGACCCCCCTGTCCTTCCTCTCTCATCAAGACGTAGTCGTGGCTAGGCACGAGCATGAACCCAGCAGCAGCGGCGTGCCCCAATACCGCTGCTATAGTGAGCATAGGGAAGGAGAGCAGGTTAACCATGATGGCCTTTAAGCTGTCATCCATGTGTTGAAGCCGGTGGAGGAAGCTACTGGACCCGGCGGGCTCGGCCCAAGCGAGATCGAAGCCATTGGAGAAGAACTTACCCTGTTCAGTGGTGACCAGGACTGAACCGCGCTTGGCCTGGGTTTGCTTGTACTTCCACAAAGTCTGCCAGCTTGAATAAGGGCATGAGGCGATCCAAGCTTTGTAGGAAACCCTATCGGAAAATACTTCTACCAGCTGGGGTACCATTTCTGGTTTCACTTTTACCAACTTTACATTTGCGGCATGGAGGTTGGAGACATCCAATAGTTCCATTTCTCCTCCACAGAATTTTGTGATCTTAGAGAAAACTTCTTCCAACCAGGCATGGAAGGGTAAATCCAGGATTCTCAGGTTAATACTTACTGTTGGTTCCAGCCTTCTAGGACCTTTTCATTGCTTGAATAGGCCCATCTATGTAACGTAGCCATACCTTGCTTAGTCTTCACCGAAATACCAGCAAACTCTGGGCAGACTTTGTGGAAGTACAAGCAGAGCCTTGTTGCCTTCAAAAGGTAAAATCTCCATTTACCTGTAATCGTTAACAGTCCCACCCATTAGGACTTGCTTCAACCATCAGGACATTCAGACCCAGTCATGGCCCACCACCAATCCATCCATATCAGGGCCTCTCAGTTCACTTCCAGAGAACACCAGATGGGTTGCATAGGTCTTTGCTAGAATGGGACCGTTGAAGACTGTTATGTTCTTTGGGAGTGAACTGAGAGGCTCGGAATGGCACAAGTCTTGCCACTACTGGCTGGCGATGATTGGGTTTGGGACGGTGTGAGAGTGCTTGAGGTTCAATGGAGAAGACAACGAACAGTATAAAAAGGGTAGTTTGGACATTTAAAAGATTTTAAGCAATCGGATGAAAATTTTTTGGAAATTAACTGACAGAATATTAACAGAAGGGGGTCTTTGTCTAACGGCTAAAGTTCAAGAGGTCTTTGTCGCAAAAAAAATTACAGGGGGACTTTGGTATAAGGGGGTCTTTGTAATT